AAATCGTTCTACAAAAAAAAAAAAAAAAAAAAAAAAAGTGAAACGACGGTGGCGCCGCGTAGCGGCAGACTTCGGCAACCCGCGAATAAAAATCTTCACGGGAACGAACAAATTAATTAAAGTTATTATCGACAAATTTTTTTTTCAATTTTCATTCCTCCAACCCTCCGACGTCTTATCGTACCTTATATAACTTCCACGAATCTTCCTCTCGTATCTTTTATTGTCCCCCCAGAGGAATTTTTGAATAAAAAATACGTCATACCCCCCATACCTTTACTATGAAATCCAGCATCCAGCTCCGAAGCTGTCATCGTCTGAGTGTACGTATCATCCATTTCGCCCTCAAAAATCTCCAGAATGATTAATCTGAATGACTTGGATAAGAATTGAGGGGATTACTTCGAGAAATATATTCCAGTTTATCGAACCGATATCCATCGATTCCGGATTCGTTACCAGCATCAAATCAGGTCGAGCGAAACGAAACTCTCCGATTAATGCCGAGTCTGTATTTGGAAAATAAAAAAATGTTTACCTGCAACCGCCCCCCTCCCATGGGATAACAAGAATGGCTCTTGGAGTGGTTGAGAAATATCGCTTCTATATTAGGGATAATTTGAATAATTGTCCCTAGGGACCCTAGACAATATTGAATACCCGAGAGAGAATTGGTAAAAATCATTTGAAATATTTTAAATATTCCGACAACGGAATACGAACTGTAGTTACGGTAACTGGTTAAATTTTTTTTTTTTTACTGAAAATACAAACTCTAACGAGTCGGAGATCCTTTAAAACGAATCCAACGTTTAGTTAAGGTCTCTGACCACCCGTTACCGATTTCCAAGTTCACTTTGAGGATGCCTCTTGCCAACGAATCCTACGTGTTAAATGCACCCGCAATTCGTTACAATGCTTCTCAGGCTTTCCTTACGGCGGAATAATATCCCTTCCTTGGCTTTAAAGGGGTTCATATATTTTTCATCCTTCTTGATGGTCATAATTCTAAAAGGGGGTCAATGTACATTGGAATGAAAGTATATATATAAAGTATGTCCATAAGATGAAACAGCCACCTTGAAAGTATTTAGTTATGCGTTAAGACATATGAGTTTTTTAATATCGATATTAGATACCTCTGAAACCACCCTCTTGCACCCTATCATCGCTAATAATTTTTTTAATCCGTCGAAAATTCGCATATACATATAAATCTATTGATATATCGTTTGCAAGTCGATTATTTCAATGATATACGCAAAGTGAATCCTCGTGAGGGGGTATAAAGGGTTGAAAAAAAGAGGGTACGATATTAGTAGTCCACTTGAACGGCCATCGGTTGAAATTGTCGAAAAATTGGCTATTCTCTAGTTATCCCAGCTTCCTCGGATACAGGTGGCGGAATATACATATATATACATAGACAAGATGAAT